ATGATTTTTCAGGATGCTCATAATATAAGCCCTACCCTCAAAATATGCCCTACTTAAGTGATCAGACTATGTTTAACCCAACTCCAGGAGGCAGTGGAAGACAGGAGGGCCTGGCGTGCTATGGTCCATGGGGTCCCGAAGAGTCGGACATGACTAAACGACTAAACAACAACAACAAATGACCAGAAGAAGATGACACGACTGTATTTGAACAAATGTAGACTGTTGCACATTTAACAAATAAAACATCCCCTGAATATAAGCCCTAGTGCATTTTTGGAGCAAAAATTAATATAAGACCCTACCTTATTTTTGGGGAAACACATTGTTATCATCATCGTTGTTGTTGTTGTTGTTACTATTAAATTGTTTAGACTTTACAACAGGTTTCCCTTGGTTTAGTTTTGCAGCACAGGATAACTGAAGAGAGGCCTTCACTAATCAATTTTACTTGCTAAATGAGAATATTATTTGCCTCACAAACAGGCCCTCAGGAAAGAAATGTCCTTTCTGAAGGGGAAGCTTAGGTGGACTAGGCTGCACAGCCTCCAAGCTCAGGCCTTTCTCCCAGGTGAACTACATTTAGATGTTTGTCTTTCAGGTGGAGGTCCCAAAATGAAGCATTATGGAATCTGTAGTCCAGAAATTGGCAGTATCGATTCACTACAGTACTCTGGTCCAGGAACATCCGGTGACCCCAAAGCTGGGAAACAGTGACCTAGAAAGTATCATAAATTATCCCCACACAGAAATATTTTTTTAAAAAAAAAATTCCGAAATCTGTTGTCAGGATTTCCACTGTGACTCCTATGTTTATGAATTTATTTCACTCACCACTTTGCAACACAGAGGCCAGAACCACCACATAAGGCCAAGAGCTACCAAGAGTAACAATACAAGTATTACGATCAGGGCCACAATGCCATTTGCCTATGGAAAAAAAGAGAGGCAGAGATAATCATTACAATCTTATTTGTGGCAATTATAAGTTACTGATCTCCCTTTCAGTCTGTCTCTTTCTTTATGCACTGTGCTCTCTTCTAGCACTAAACAGGATATAGTTCTTCAAGACTGGAAGATATACCAAATATGTACCATACAAAAAAAAATGGTAGGAAAAAAATGGTAATATTCTGTTTGTATTATAAACTTCAAAACAAGCATCTGCATCTCAGGATTCTAATTTATGGGGTAAAAAGCTAACTCCATAACACTGATGTTGAGCTTTTCAGACTGAGAAATCTGAACTGTCAGGCTGTGAGAATACACCACAATCTGGCATAATTGTGTGAATCTGCTAGAACTCAGGAAATAATGATTTTGTTTTTAAAAGAATGAGGTTCTATGTTTATTTGCAGTCTGGCCCTGAGGCAATCAATTTCAGAATACTACGAATGAAATGCTTACAAACCAATTTCAAAAGTATGAATAAACAGCCTACATTTGTCTCCTCCCTCATGTAATTTTTATTTGCTCTTAGCAGTGTCTGTACATCTTACTGGTACAGGAGGTAAGTCTTTACACACTGAATCTCAACTAGAGATGGGGATATTCGTAAATAAATACGAATATCCCCATCCCGGCTGGACTTAATAAGGGCCGGCCCCGGGACTGGCCTGTCCAATCATGCATCCCAGCGTTGCAAAGGTCCTGCTCTTACCACCAATGGAGCTCCACTCTCTCCTTGCTCAGCTGGCCACTCAGCAGTCACGCAGGGAGACTCATTCTCCCACCCTCCGCCTGGAGTGGCCAGCCGAGCAGGGAGACAGAGCAGCTCTAGGTGCCATTGGTAGGAAGAGCGGGACCTTCACGATGCCACGACATATGAGTGGACAGGACGGTCCCGGGGGCTGGAACCTCATTAGGTCCAACTGGGACGGGGATGTTCGTATTCATTTATGAATGTGCATATCCCCATCTCTAATCTCAACCTGTCATACCAAACCTGAGGGGTTTTTCTTCCAAGTACATGTGGATAGGATTTTGCTAAAGACTCATTTGTGCACAATCTTTAAATAATTAGAAAGCCTCTTTTTTAAGGTATTGGGTGCCTGAAATTTGTGGGAGCTACAGTATTTCATCATCATATGTCCAACAATGGAACTGCTGGTGGTGTTTTGTTCGTTTGTTTGTTTGTTTGTTTGTTTGTTTGTTTGTTTGTTTGGTTGGTTGGTTGGTTGGTTGGTTGGTTGGTTGGTTGGTTGGTTGGTTGGTTGGTTCTTTCTTTCTTTCTTTCTTTCTTTCTTTCTTTTCCTTCCTTCCTTCC